TGGAGTGCAGTAGCTCACTGCAGCCTCTGCCTCCCAGGTTCTACTGATTCTCTTGCCTCAGCCTCCTGAGTAGCTGGGACTACAGGTGCCTGCCACCACACCCAGCTTTTTTTTTTTTTGGTAGAGACAGGGTTGTTGGCCATGTTGGCCAGGCTGGTCTCGAACTCCTGACCCAAGTGATCCCCCTGCCTTGGCTTTTGAAAGAGTTGGGATTACAGGCATGAGCCATGGTGCCTGGCCATTTAATTTTATTCTTTTACATTTTAAAATTACAGTTTTTATACCTATTCAGAAGTAGAGAAAATAGTACGATGAACACTAAAATACTTATTCCTTAATTTCTGTGATCATCAAGATTGTCCTGCATTTTGTTCTATTTCTTTTCCTCCCTTTGCAGGAATACTGTAAAGAGTCTTCATGTCATTTTACCTGTTCAGTGCACGTCCCCAAACAGCCACCATCTCCTCACATCTGACAAAATTAACAATGTTTTTTTGGTGTCAGCTCATTGTTTGCTTTATATCTGGATCCAAACAATCTTCTCGTGCTAACTTTGGTTATCATGCCTCTTTTAATCTAAACCAGCCTCTGCTTACTATTGTTATTTCATATTCCACGAATTCTCTGTGGGAAGTTATTTCTTTCAAAACAGCATGGTTACAAGGTTGAAGGTGTAAAGAATATTGATCTTGTGGTTGCAGTGCAGATGAAAGTGTAGCCTGAAATGTGCCGTGTGCAGCAGCAATGGAGGAGGGTTATTAAAGGTCACCAGCAGAGAGTAAGTAGCAAAAGGCTGCTTCCAGATAGTATTTACAGGCTGGGTCCAGTGGCTCATGCCTGTAATTGCAGCACTTTGGGAGGCCGAGATGGGCGAACCACCTGAGATATCGGGAGTTTGAGACCATCCTGCCCAAAATGGTGAAACCTGGTCTCTACTAAACAATACAAAAATTAGCCAGGCATGATGGCAGGTGCCAATAATCTTAGCTACTTGGGAGGCTGTGGCAGGAGAATTGCTAGAACCTGGGAGGTGGAGGTTGCAGTGAGCTGAGATCATGCCACTGCACTGCAGCCTGGGTGACAGAGCAAGACTCCATCTCAAAAAAAATACTACTTAGGTTGTATTCTTTATCTTCTATAATAATTTTCTTTCTCTGTCTTCCTAAGGACATTGAAAAGAAGTTTTATCTTTTAGGATCTTTGAAGATCTTTTCTAAGACCAAAACTCTCAAGCACATTCAAATGATTTGTATGTGGAAGGACTATCAGAAAACATTTCTTTTAGAAGTCCCTTGTGATATGGAATTCCGAGGCTGGAAAACATCAGGTAAGTGGGCAACTGAATTAAATTTTTATTAAAAGGTAAAATAGTCTGCAGAAACAAATTAAGAAGAGATTAATTTGATAAAGATGGGTTTTTTGTTCCCATCTCATCATGACTTCTTCATATTTACAATTAATATTTAGATTAGATTAATGAACAAGCAATTATTTAGTATAAGCATTAGATGTGCAAAATTGGGTCTGACAAGAACCCGGTTGTTGGGGGCTTAATACTAAGAAAAATATAATGAAAAGTTATTGAGCATTTTTGGGGAATAAAGCAAGGATGGCATATCCAGTTACTGTCTCATTGAAGATCAATGAGAAATAAAAGCAAAGTATTATAAGTTCCATCAAAGAAAACCGTTTAAGTTTTTGTTTCTGATGTTGCTTCTTTAATAAACAGCTGCTATCATTTCAGACCACTTGATATGTAGACCCTGGGGAATTTTTCACTGGAAGGCATGTAAAGAAAGACGAGCATTTGTAAGGGATTTAACGTTCATCATTTGACTGTGTGACTCATCCCCAGAGCTGTAATTTTACTAACAAATTTTTCAGAAGCCAGTTAGCAGCTGCACCTCGCCAGCCAGCCACCCTCAACATCCAGTGCTCTTTTGTTCTTCTGTTTCTCCTCAAACTTGGTTACTCTCACAAAGTCCTTGCATTTCTTTTCTTTCCTTTTTTCTTGCTCCGTCACTCAGGCTGCAGTGCAGAGGGGTAATCACGGCTTGCTATAGTTTCAAACTCAAGTAATACTCCCACCTCAGCCTCCCAAGTAGCTGGGACTACAGATGTACACCACCACGCAAAGCTAATTTTTTTATTATTTATTGTAGAGATGGGATCATGCTGTGTCGCCCAGGATGGTCTTTAAATCCTGGCCCCAAGTGGTCCTTCTGCCTCAGCCTCCCAAAATTCTGGGATTATATGCAGATACAAGCCAGCTGTGACCAACCCCCTATTTATTTTAAATAACAGCTTTATTGAAATATAGTTAACATACCTTACACTTCATTCATCAAAGTATGCAATTCATTGGTCTTTAGAGTAGTCATGGAGCTGTTCATCTGTCACCACAATCAATTTTAGAAGATTTCATTGCCCTATAGAGAAATATACATTTCTTTGCCATTAGTTTGTACTCCCCCTATACCCCTGTGCTCCCATAGGCAACCGCTGATCTATTTTCTGTCACTATAGAGTTGCATAATCTGGACCTTTTATATAAATAGGATTGTGCAATATGTGGGGATCTTTGGTGGCTGGCTTTTTTTTCACTCCTAGCACAATGTTTACAGAGTTTCTTCATGTCATGGCATGTGTCAGTATTTCTCTCATTCTACGGCTGAACAATATACTCCATGGTAGAGTCACACTACATTGTATTTATCTGTTCATCAGTTGACAAACATTTGGGTTGTTTTCATGCATTGGCCATTATGAATAATACTGCTCTGAAGATTCATGTACAAGTTTTTGTGTGGACATATATTTTTATTTCTCTGGGATATATGCCTAGGAGAGAAATTAGTGCATTCTATGATACTGTACATTTAGGCTTTTGAGAAACTGTTTTCCAAAACAGTTATACCAGTCAGGTGTGGTGACTCACATCTGTAATCCCAGCTACATGAGAGGCTGAGGTGTGAGGATCACATGAGCCTATGAGTTAAAAAAGACCAGTCTGGGCAAGATGGCAAGACCCTGTCTTTATTTAAAAAAATAAAATGAAAATGACAAGAAAAGAAACACCCAAACAAAGTGGTTAAACCATTTTATGTTCCCACCAGTAATGTATGTGGGTTCCAGTTTCTACATTTTCACCAACATTTCTTCTTTAGAGGCAAGATCTCACTGTGTCACCCTGGCAGGAATGCAGTGGTGTGATCATGGCTCACTGCAGCCTTTAACTCCCAGACCCTCACGATCCTTTTATGTCAGCCTCTTGTAAAGTTGGGACTACCTTCACATGCCACCACACTCAGCTAATCTTTGTATTTTTAGTAGAGACTGTTTCACTATGTTGCCCAGTCTGGTGTCAAACTCCTGGACCCAAGTGATCCACCTGCCTTGGCCTCCCACACTGCTGGGATTTCAGGTGTGAACCACCATACCTGTTTATCTCTCTCTTTTGTCTCTATCCTTTCTTCTTTTGGTAGATGGGAGAAAATAGTATCTATGTCTTATTTTTAGGCCTGAGACTTTTAAGGCATATGAGGGAATATATGATTGTATTTATACATGTTTATCAGGAGATAGCCTTGAATACAATGTGATATTAAAGGATCCCTTAAAAGATATTTGTAGTATGCTTCAAAGGAGCTGTATGTTGCCAAGTTACCACTTTACTTGTGAGTTCACATGCTCCATGAAGCAACTGATGAGACAATTTGCAATTGTTATTTTGTTTTGTTACTGTGTGGATTTAGTTGTGCTCAAGCATTCAGATGATATTTTCTTATTTTTTTTTCTTGAGACAGAGTCTTGCTCTGTCACCCTGGCTGGAGTGCAGTGGTATGATCTTGGCTCACTGCAACCTCTGCTTCCTGGCTTCACACAATTCTCCTGGCTCAGCCTCCTGAGGAGCTGCGATTACAGGCACCTGCCACCACTCCAGGCTAAATCTTGTGTTTTTAATGGAGATGGGTTTTCACCATGTTGGCCAGGCTGGTTTCAAACATTCAAGCTGTGATCTGCCTGCCTCGGTCTTTCAAAGTGTTGGGATTACACGTCTGAGCCACCGCCCCCAGCGTGTTTTTTCTTTTCAAAACCACCCTTGATGATTAAATGTTAAATATGTACTAGTGGATATTACTTTTCTGAATATTGCATAGTGAATATTAAATGTTTATTCTCACCTTTCAGACATGAACTTATTAATTCTACACGTGAGGATTTACAACTTGATAAACCAGCTTCAGGAGGTAGGTCTTCAGTATTAACTCAGATGAGAAGATTGTGTGCAATAATTATTTAATGCTTACCATTGATTTTTAATGGTACCTTTCACGTGAAATAAAATGCCTCTAACTACTAATTATATGCCAGGACAGGAGAATTTGTGTTGTCCAAATTTTGTTACTCTCTAGAACAATTAACTCAGTTTGTTTGTATTAACCCATTATAAATATGTGCAAATACTGCATTCATGTGTAGACAGAACTAAAATAACAGTATTTGTTCTACTTCTGAGATGCAATATTTATCTGGCGTAGTGCATTGAACAGTTTATTATTGAAGTCTACACCAGTCAAATGAATGAGCATTCATCAACTGTCTGTGATACCCAGGACATAAGGTTTCCTATTAGAGTATGGAGCCATGCATATCATCTCTTAATTGTTAGATATGTTTTGAAAGAAATAGAATGGATTTGGTTACTGGTTTTGTTTCTGGAGTGGAGAGGGACAAAACAGAATGGACTCCCACTGTTTAGATTTCCTAAAATGGAAGGATTGCCAGCAGATCATATTTCTGGTCTCCCCATAGCAAATGTTTTCTTTCTTATTTTTATTTTTATTTTTTTGAGATGGAGTTTTGCTCTGTTACCCATCCTGAAGTGCAGTAGTGTGATCTCAGCTCACTGCAGCCTCCACCTCCTGGGTTGAAGCAGTTCTCCTGCCTCAGCCTCCCATGTAGCTGCGATTACAGGACAAACAACCATGCCCATCTAATTTTTGTATAGTAGAGGTGGGGTTTCACCCTGTTGGTCAGGCTGGTGTTGAGCTCTTAACCTTAGGTGATCTGGCTGCCTCAGCCTCCCAAGAATCTGGGATTACAGACACCTGCCACCATGCCCAGTTAAATTTTGTGTAGGTAGTAGAGATGAGGTTTCACCACATTGGCCAGGCTGCTCTCAGACTCCTGTCCTCGAATGATCCACTTGCCCTGGCTTGCAGGTATGAGCCACCCACATTTGGCCAGTGATTGACATTCATTTTATTTATATACTTTTTGAGATGAAGTTTCACTATTGTTGCCCAGGCTCGAGTGCAATGGTGCAATCTTGGCTCATGACAACCTCTGCCTCCTGGGTTCCAACAATTCTCCTGCCTGAGCCTCCCGAGTAGCTGGGATAACAGGTATGTGCCATCATGCCCAGCTAAGTTTGCATTTTTAGTAGAGACAGGGTTTTTAATGTTGGTCAGGCTGCTGTTGAACTCCTGACCTCAGGTGATCTGCCTGCCTCGACCTCCCAAAGTGCTGAGACTACAGTTGTGAGCCACCACACCCGGCCCAGCTCTTGACTTTTTATACCTGTTGTATTATTTTAATGTTGAGTAAATAAATGCTAGCTCAAATGTTGTAGTTCAGGAGAATCTTCTGTTTCTGGTACTTTTGAAAATTATGTTTATAACTCCAGTAAGTGTTTTTCTGAGTCCAGTAAGGTTACACTGTTGTTTATGTTTTGAAAATATTACCTTTTCCATCTAGTACTATATGTATTACATAATATGAGCTGATGTGTTTTTCTGGCTTTTTGATGTGGTTCAGATTGTTGTAGAAAGTCTGGCTGTATCTACATTGGCTTAAAGTAATGGGATTTTGTTTTTTGAGCTGGAGTTCTGCTTTTGTCACCCATTCTGGAATGCAACGACACCATCTTGGCTCACTGCAGCCTTCACCTCCCAGGTTCAAGTGAACCTCAGCTTCTCGAATAGGTGGGATTACAGGTGTCCACCACCACGCCTGCCTGATTTTCAGTAGATGTGGTGTTTCCCCATGTCCACAAGGCTGATCTGGAACTTGTGACCTCAAGTGATCCATTTGCCTTGGGCCTCCCAAAGTGCTGGGATACAGGTGTGAGCCACCACACCTGGCCTATGTTTTTATTGTGTGGTTAATTTGGTATTATTCTAAGTAAAAATAATTTGCTATTAAAGTTTTATAAATTGACTCTAACAGTTTATAAATGTAAGTGCTTTTTATAAGATGAAATAGATTATGTTTTGGGGCTTTTTTGTGATGGTGATTTATTAGATTATTTTGTTTAAAGACAATAATTTGCAGCTGTTGTGACATTATAAAAAATCTTCACATTTTATAATTTTAAAGCAGCATTAGTGGTAATTACCTTAGGAAAAGATACTTTTGTTTTGATCTGTAAGTATGATATTCAAGTTTAGTGTACAGCAAAGGGTATTAAACTTCACTCAGCACTAATGTGTTATATGGTGCACTTGAAACTTTAGTACAAATGTCAATGTTTAGCAAATAGACTTTAACACATAATGATAGCAAAAAATGGAGCTATTCTGATGGGAGATTGTTGGTTATGTTTAATTTTACTACTTCCCATGCTCTTGACATTTTTTGTTTCTTTGAGAGAGTCTTGCTCTGTCACCCAGGGTGGAGGGCAGTGGCATGATCTCAGCTCACTGCAATGTCCACCTCTCAGGTTCAAGCGATCCTCCTGCCACAGTATCCATAGTAGTTGGGACTACAGGTAAGTGCCACCATGCTGGGCTAATTTTTGTATTTTTAGTAGAGATGGGATTTCACCATGTTGGCCAGGCTGGTCTCGAACTCCTGACCTCAGGTGATCCACCCACCTAGGCCTTGCAAAGTGCTGGGGTTATAGGTTTGAGCCTGTTCAATGACTAGCTCTTGAATTTTATTTTTTTTTTTTTTGAGACGTAATTTCGCTTTTGTTGCCCAGGCTGGAGTGCAATGGCTTGATCTCAGCTCACCACAACCTCCTCCTTTTGGGTTCAAGCAGTTCTCCTGCCTCAGTCTCTCATGTAGCTGGGATTACAGGTGTACACCACCATGTCTAGCTAATTTTTTTCTTCTTTTAAGTAAAGACGTGATTTTTCCATGTTGGTTAGGCTGGTCTCGAACTCCAGACCTCATGTGATCTGACCACCTTGGCCTCCCAAAGTGCTGGGATTACAAGTATCAGCCACAGTGCCCATCCCAGCTCTTGACGTTTTATAGATGTTGTATTATTTCAATCTTGAGTAAATAAATGCTAGCTGAAATGTTGCAGTTCAGGAGAATCTTCTGTTTCTATTAGTTAAAAAATTATCTTTATAAGTTCAATAAGGTTACACTAATGTTTATATTTTGAAAATATTACATTTTCCATTTAGTACTGTATATATTAAATAACATTAGCTGGTATGTTCCTCTGGCCTTATAATTTGGTTCAGACTGTTGTAGAAAGTCTGGGTGTATCTACATTGGCTTTAATAATGGGATTATTTCTTTCTTTTTCTTTCTCTATTTTATTTAATTTTTTTTTGAGCTGGAGTTTCCCTCTTGTCCCCATGCTGGAGTGCAATGGCATCATCTTGGCTCACTGTAACGTCTACCTCCTGGATTCAAGTGATTCTCCTGCCTCAGCTTCCCGAGTAGCTGGGATTGCAGGCACCTGCTTCCACACATAGGTAGTTTTTGTATTTTCAGTAGAGATGGGTTTTCCCATGTTGGCAAGGATGGTCTTGAACTACTGATCTCATGTGATTCACTGACCTCAGCCTCCCAAAGTGCTGGATTACAGGTGTGAGTCACCGCATTCAGCTGTAATGGGATATTTTACTGTAGACTTTGATAATCAGAATGTTAGCATTTTGGAGGTTCTTTTTATTTTTTTCATACTATTTTTTGGACTCAAATACAATAATAGAAGTAAAGAACAAATTATAAAAGTTAAAGAGCAATGCAGGGCATGGTGGCTCATGCCTATAATTCTAGCACTTTGGGAGGCCAAGGTGGGTGGATCATGAGGACAGGCGATCAAGATCATTTTAGCCAATACGGTGAAACACCGTCTCCATTGTCTGTACAAAAATTAGCTGGGCATGGTGGCAGGCACCTGTAGTCCCAAATACTCAGGAGGCTGAGGCAGGAGAATTGTTTGAACATGGGAGATGGAGGTTGCAGTGAGCTGAGATTGTGCCATTGCACTCCCACCTGGTAGCAGAGCAAGACTTCGTTTAAAAAAAAAAAATTAAAGAGCAATACAGATTGAATAATTATTCTTTTCTACAAATTGTATTTAAATGATATCTCTTTTTTTTTCAGTTATAGCTCAAGCTGTAAAAGCCAAAGGTCCATGATGATCTTGTACTTTTATTCCAGTCTCATGTGGAAGATCTTTATGTAGAAGGACTTCCCAAAGGATTTTTTTTTTCTGAGACAAAGTTTTCACTCTTGTCACCCAGCCTGGACTGCAGTGGCATGATCTCGACTGACTGCAGTCTCTGCCTCCTGGGTTCAAGCAATTCTCCTTCCTCAGCCTCCTTATTGGCCACGCTGGTCTCAAAATCCTGAGTTTGTGATTTACCTGCCTCAGTCTGAAAGTGTTGGGATTATAGGCATGAGCCATTGTACTCAGCCTACTTTACATTTTTTTATCTTTCACTTTTTAATTTTTCTGGGTCCAACACTAAGTCAGTCATGCCAGTGTTAGCTTTTGAAACATGAACACTGCCCACATCTGACTGGTATGCAACTGACATTTTCTTTTAGAGTTCTGATTGGTTCCATCTGAGGGGGCGTCTGTGATGTCACAAGGGTGGGTTTTCAGGGAAGTCACAAGGACAGTACAGGGCCTGGAGATGTGTCATCTTCTCAGAGTGAAGCCTGGTAACTGCAATGTCTCAGCTAGGTCCTGTGTGTTGCTGGATGGAAAAGGGCAGTTGACAAACTCTGACCCGGTACAGTGTTTATGTAGGTCAAAAATAGAAAACTGTCCAGGTGTGGCTGAGGTAGGAGGAATCCCTACAGTCCAGGAGTTCAGGAGCAGCCTGGGCAACATGGTGTGACCCTGTATCTGTAGTCCCACCTCAGCCTCCCAGCTACTTGAACCCCAGGGTTCAAAGCTGCAATGAGCTATGATCCCACCACAGAACTCCAACCTGTGAGACTGAGGTAAACCCTGCCTAAAAGAACAAAAAGAAAACTCTCCAAGTGTGCAAGAGTAGGAGACTGCTTAAAGAAAACATGAGGCTCCCTGGGCCCTGTAATCCCAGCACTTTGAGGGCCGAGGCGGGAGGATGGCTTGGGCTTAGGAGTTTGAGACCAGCCTGGGCAACATGATGAAACCCTGTCTCTACAAAAGATATAAAAATTAGTTAGGTGTGGTGCACACCTGGCTTAAGTTTCGTAGAGATGAGGGGTGGTCTAGCTATGTTGCTTAGGCCGGTCTTGAACTCCTAGGTTGAAGCAACCTTCTGACCTTGTCTTTCAAGATTGTTGGGATTACAGGTGTGAGCCACTGCCTCCACCTGGGTTAGGCCATTTAATAACATAAGAAAGTGCTCGGGCAGCTCAGTGGCTCATCCTTCTAATCCCAGTACTTTGGGAGACTGAGATGAGCGGATCACCTGAGGTCAGGGGATCGAGACGAGCCTGGCCAGAATGGTGAAACTCTGTCTCTACAAAAAATACAAAACTTAGCTGGGGGTGGTGGTAGGCTCCTGTATCCCGGCTACTCAGCAGGCTGAGGCAGAAGAATCATTTGAACCTGAGAAATGGAGCTTGCAGTGAGCTGAGATCGTGCCACTGCACTCCAGCCTGGGTGACAAGAGTGAAACTCTGTTTCAAGAAAAGAAAGTTAAAGAGCAATACAGATTCAATAATTATTCTTCACTGCAAATTGTGTTTAAATGATATCCCTCTTCCTTTTTGTCCTTATACCTCAAGCTGTAAAAGCCAAAGGTCTGGTGATGATTCCATACCCTTTTTTCCAGTTGCATGTTGAGGATCTCTATGAAGAAAGCCTTCCCAAAGGAATTTGTTTTTCTTTTTCTTGAGACAGTTTTCACTCTTGTCACCCAGGTCGGAGTGCTAAGGTGTGATTTTGGCTCACTGGCTCTTGGGTTCAGGCAGTTTTCCTGCCTCACAGCTGCCCACCACCATACAAGACTAATTTTTGTATTATTAGTAGAGAAGGGCTTTTTCTATGTTGGCCAGGCTGATCTTGAACTCCTGACCTCAGGTGACACTAGGTGGAATAAGGGGGATGAGTGTGATTGGGGCAGCCTTTATGATATGCGATGGGCACGTTCTGTAGTTGACTTCACCTCTTTCTAAAACTTCCACTTTTTACTCAGCTCTGACAATTGGTTCTTTTTTTATTTTATAGAAAGCTTGTTAGAATTAGGTTTATATAGTTTCTTGTTGAATTGACAAAATAATTTTATTTAACATCATTCTTTAGTGTGACTGAAAGCCTCTAATTTTTTACCATTGTTTGTTTATGGGCATATTTCTTTTTACAGATATGATAACTATTTCATTTTGTGTGTTTCTTATTCCAAAGAGTTCCTATACTAGATCCTTTCAGATTTGGTGCTAATAACATGAAGTAAGAATTTAATACAAATCTTAGATGTTAGAAGAAAGCCAATCTAAGATCAAAGAAATTAATTTCTCTCAAGTTGAGGTGTGGAGGTGGAGGAGGCAATTGGATAAATGAGTCCAGAAGTAAGGAGAAAAATCTGGCAGTCGATGTAATTTTGGATTTTGTAGTAGTGTTTCGATAGCACTTGTTGATATCACCAAAATAATTCATCAATGAGCTCCCTCACAGCTCCCCATTTCTTTTTAAAGAAACCACGTTTTGTTATGTTGTCTGGGTGTGACTAGAACTTTTGGGCTCATGTTATTCTTCTGCCTCAGTGTCCTAAGAGGCTGGGGCTACAGGCATGTGTTACCATGCCCAGGTTTGAACCACTCCCAGCCATCAGGTTGCAAAATATTTAAATTTACATACAAAGGTGCAAGGGAGATCTCTATATAAATAGCACCATGTCAATTGCTAGAATCTTTCTTTTTAGAATTCTGTTTGGATGTGGCTTCACAGGAGGGAATAGTAAATTAATTTTTACTTTTTTTGTTTTTGTTTTAAGCAGATTCTCACTCCGTTGCCGAGGCTGGAGTCTAGTGGCATGATCTTGGCTCACTGTAGTGTCTTCCTGCTGGGCGCAAGTGATTATCTTGCCTCAGCCTCCTGAGTAGCTGGGATTACAGGTACCTGTCACCACATTTGGCTAATTTTTTGTGTGTGTATTTTTGGTAGAAACAGGGTTTCACCATGTTGGTCTCTTAACTCCTGACCCAACTGATCCACCTGCCTCGGCCTCCCAAAGTACTGGAATTATAGGAGTGAGCCACTGCTTCTGACCATTTTTTTTAAAACATTTTTAAATTATAGTTTTTATACCTATTCAAAAGTAGAGAAAATAGTACAATAAACACTAAAATACCCATTCCTCAATTACTGTGATCATTAAGATTGTCCACATTTTGTTCTGCTATTCTTTTACCTCCCTTTGCAGGAATATTATAAAGCAAATCGCAGTCATCACATTATTTTATCTGTTCAGTGTGCATTCCCGAACAGCCACTCTCTCATCATAGCTGACAAATTTAGCAGTGATTTTTTGGTGTCAGCTCATATTTAGTTCTTAGTTGAGTTTCCTTACTCTTATCTGAATAGTATCACATTTCCTCATTATCTGAAAAAAATTTGTTTTAAATCTGGCTTTAAACAGTCTTCATGTGTTAACTTTGGTTGTTATACCTCTTTTAATCTAAATCAGCCTTTGCTTACTATTTTTAATTCCCATTTCATGAATTCTTTGTGGAAAGTTAATTCTTATTAAATAGCATGCTCACGATGTTGAAGGGGTAAAGAACATTGATCTCATGGCTGCAGTGCAGATGAAAGTGTAGCCTGAAATGCACTACTGTAAGGCAGCCAATGGAGGACGGTTATTACAGTCACGAGCAGATAGTAGCAAAAAGCTGCTTCCAAATATTGTTTATGACTGGGCACATTGGCTCCTGCCTGTAATCTTAGCACTTTGGGAGGCCAAGGTGGGTGGATCAGCTGACGTCAGGAGTTGGAGACCAGCCTGGCAAACATAGTTAAGCCCTGTCTCTACTAAAAATATACAAAAATTAGACGGGCATGCTGGCCGGCACCTGTAATCTCAGCTACTTGTGAGGCTGAGGCAGGAGAATTGCTTGAACCCGAGAGGCAGAGATTGCAAGGAATCGAGATCATGCCACTGCACACCAGCTTAGGTTATGTTCTTTATTGTCTATAATGATTTTCTTTCTTTCTTTTCTGTTTAAGGATATTGAAAAACAAAGTTTAATCTTTGAAGATCTTTGAGGATGGTTTTTAAGACCAAAAATTTGAAGGACATGTGAATGATGTGTGTGTGGAAGAACTACTGGAAGACATTCCTTTCAGAAGTCCCTCATGATAGGGAATCCCAAGGCTGGAAAACATCATTCAAGTGGGCAATCAAATTACATTTGTTATTAAAAGGTAAGATGATAATCTGCAGACACAAATTCAGTGTCTTCCCTAAGAAGAGATGAATTGGATTAATTTGGGCCTTTTGTTTCCCTCTCATCATGTCTTCTTTATACTTACAATTCACATTTAGTTTCTCTTACTAAACAAATATTTATTTAAAGTATCAGATGAATAAAATATGCCCTTACATACAGAATACAGTGTAAGAGTTGGGCTAGGGTGTCATCAACTTTTAGAGAGTGATTGCAGCTACTTGACTCCTTGTTCATTATTGCATTTATTCAGTATAGAAGTAGTAACAGAGGTTTTAAGTTAACCTGCTTGTGGATAATTAACACGGTTGAAAGAGTGGTTTTAAGAATGATGAAAACTTGTGGTTCTGAGGTCCAGAATAAACACCATTAAGAAGTAATTTTTTTTCAACCTCCCCCTTAGAGGAGCAGCTAGCATGAAGTTTACATGAGTAAACAGAGTAGAGAAAAAGGAATGTGGGATAAACAGACTCAACCAGGGAAGCTTTTATCATCTTAATCTTCACCTTATGACTTAAAGCTCCAATGTAAGAACTGGCTGTCTTCAGCCTGGCTCATTAAAACTTTTCGGCTTCCCAAAGGTTTGAGACTATATTCTATACTTCCCTAATATTTCTTTTAATATTTTTCCAGCCACCCTGAGTGAATCCCAGCACTGCCCTACATAAAATATATCCTTAATGGTATTTCCTATTTGATGTCTGACCCCCCTCCTCCTTCACTAAAAGGTAAGTAAGGGAAGGGATTCTGTCTGTTCTGTTCTGTTGTAACCCTAAATCCCTAGAAGGTGCTCAGTAAATATTTGTTGTTTGAATGAATAAATCAGCCTATTATTGAATCAGTCAGTCTCTTGTGGAAGGACTTCTCATACCAGTGGTGCATATCTGTATGATAGCTGGCACAGGGAGGGATGTGGTCAGAATGGCTCTGTCTATGTGGACTAGTTTTGCTTAGCATAATCCCAGCGGGCTCCTGTTGGGGTTAAGCCACAGTTTCAACCTGATTAATTAGTATCATTCTTTAATCATTAAGCCAGAGGATAAGATTGGAATTGATCTGGGAGACTATTCAGTCTGCTTTTCTGTTTATTGATGTGAGAATAACAGAGCCTAGAGAAAGTAAGCTGATTACTCACAATCATAAAGCTTTAGAGGTCAACCTGAAATTAGGCTTCTGATGTCAGATTCTGTAGTGTTTCCTTCATGTGTTCCCCCTGGCTGAGACAGTTCATGGGCTTTCATGTTTGACATTTTTCTCTCCAGTCTCCAAACAAAAGCTTTTATCTGGACATTCTAGGTTAGCATAGATGGACAATGACCCTGCAATGTGTGGATAATCCCAAAGGTTGACCACTGTGGATGGGAACTATCCCAGATGTGTCAGGAGTACCACAGGCATGCTCACTTCTCTATTCATTGGAGCTGTATACAGTGGAAAGGAAACCCAAGTCAAGACACTTTGCTGCTTCAATTCTTTTATTACATGTCACAGTCCCATATGTCTCCATTTAAATTCAGACTTTTTGATGAATCATCAGACCAGCTGCAGGCCCTTTGGTTCAGAAGTCTTGATCTCACCAACTGTTCATTTTCTTAATGGACTTCCTTCAGGCATTTATGTGTAGATGGTCTATTGTGGAGTTGTCAGAGGGGTGTGGAGCCCTCTCTTTTTGGGACAGTCGGTTCTCTCTGTGTAGCATGTTCTGAAGTGGGGCTGTCTCCATTCGCTTTTTGTGTGGAATCTGTTTTTAAGCAGGGTAAAGTGAGAGAGGACTCCTAAAGAGAAAAACTCCTCCAGCATTTGCCGAAACATGTTTATGAACTGACCAAGATGTAATTGGATGGCATGAAAAAGACTAAAATTTATTTTATTTCTTGCTATCTGGTTTGTGGTACATGGTGCCTTAAATTGAGTTTAGAAGAAACTTTGCAGATGGAATTTTCTGTTGCCCAGGCTGGAGTGTAGTGGTGTGATCTCAGCTCACTGCAACCTTTGCCTCCTGGATTCAAGTGATTCTCCTGCCTCAGCCTCCCAAGTAGCTGGGATCACAGGCACCTGCCATTATGCCTGGCTAATTTTTATATTTTTAGTAGAGACGAGGTTTTACTATATTGGCAAGGCTGCTCTTAAACTTCTGACCTCAAACGATCTGCCCACCTCGGCCTCACAAAGTGTTGGGATCGCAGGTGTGAGCCACTGCGCCCGGCCGAGGGTGTCATATTTAATTCTACTCCCTGTGGCCTCTTTTACAATACCAGTCATGCATGGAGCCCATGGTTTTGCTGCACCTAGTTTTACTCAAACAAAGGCTCTGGACTTTCATAGTTTACACTGACATATTCTAGTTTGCCTCTGAAATGTAATCTGAGGATGCTGACTTCCAGATAGTCATTCTTGGCTTCCAGATAGTTATTTTTGGGTGAAGGGAATTTCAAGTCTTTTGAGTATAGTAGCCACACCTCTTAGCTTCATTTTGGTTTGGTTACAAAATTTATTTTAGCTTAGTTTTCTTAGATTAAGGGGGCAAAGACAGAGCAGAAGCTTTTGGGAGGCTGAGGTGGGTAGATAATGAGGTCAGGAGTTTGAGACTGACGTGGCCAACATGGTGAAATCCTCTTTACTAAAAATACAAAAGTTAGCTGAGCATGGTGGTGCGTACTTATAATCCCCACCACTTGGGAGGCTGAGGCAGGTGAATTGCTTGAACCCAGGAGTCTCTTGAGAAGTTGGGACTGGAGCACATGCCACCATATTCAGCTAATTTTTTTTATTTTTAGTGGAGACAAGGTTTCTCTATGTTACCCAGTCTGGTTTCTAACTCCTGGACCTAAGTGATTCACCTGCCTTGGCCTTTCAAACTGCTGCAATTACAGGTGTGAACCACCATGCCTGTTTTTCTTCTCATTTTTCTCTCTTCCCTTCCTTCTTTGGTAGAGGGAAATGTGTCATGTACCAGCTATTCATCCAATGACTGCTCCTCAGTTCCAAATTCACTGTTCACTGCCTGCTCTGCAAACACAGAGGTTGGTTCCTTAAATGATTCCTCTGTGAACTGGTGCATTATTAAATGTTGTCGGTACATGGTGCTACAGGGGCGTTCTGAGAGGCGTTTCTTTCTAGTTGTGTGCAAATCTTCACAGGCACTGAGCTTTTCCAGCACCAGGCCCTGCCCTGCATGGTGCTTACCAGCACGCAGTGACCAGAAGTTTCTCTGCATTTGCCTGGGTGGTTTTCTAGTGAGACAACTGTTTACTAATAGGTTAAGCTAGCACCCTAGATGGTGGATTTTCAGCGAACTCCAGAGGGCATATTGCTAGCATGTTCCACCATTTGGTAATGCAGCAATTCTGCCATTGAATTACCCATGACGGTGCCCTTTTCAAGGGGGCCTGGATCTCAGCCTTAGTGGGGAATCCCTTCCTTGGTCACTCTGTCTCAGTGTAGGGATAGTAGGAAGTTACTGCTCATTGTAACAGCTGGTCCTATACTTTTTTTTTTTCGAGGCAGGGTCTCTCTCTTTTGCGCAGTCTAAAGTGCAGTGGTGAAATCATGGCTCACTGCAGCCTTAACCTTCTGGGCTGAAGCAATTTTTTCACCTCAGCCTCCCAAGTGACTAGGACTACAAGTGTGTGCCACCACACCTGGCTTTTTTTTTTTTTTTTTTTTGGTAGAGCCAGGGTCTCACTGTGTTTCCAAGGCTGGTCTCAAACTGCTGGCCTCAAGCAGTCCTCCTGCCTTGGCTTCCCAAATTGCTGGAATTGTAAGCATGAGCCACCATGTCTGGCTTCTGCTAGCCCTATGTTCTCTAGAGTTCTCTTTCCTTTTGTAGCCAATCTCTCATATGGTGTTCCCTTGTTATATAATTAATTTTTTTTACTTTAAATTTTACCAGTTTAAACTTCGGGTGATTTTTGTCTTTTGATTGGACTCTGACAAATACAGAACTGATGCTAGGAAGGGTTCTGGGAGAAAGACCCACACAAATGGGATCTGGGCATAGGTTTGGTTATCCAAGGGGTAGCGTTGAGTTCCTTGTCAATGGGAAATGGGATGCTGGTGATTTTTAGGAAGTGACCTCATAATGTTTCAAGCTACCACTTCCTGTTGATTGTGATGAAATGCCAGCTGAGACACATGCCTTAGGAGCTAAGTGGCTTCTGTACTTGACCACTATGAAGACTGCTGTGGAGCGGGTCCTTTTGGATGCAGTGGAGCCGGGGCACCTAATCCCTGAATCACAGGCCTGTACTTGGCCACACAGCAGGAGGTGAGCAGCAGGTGGGCGAGCAAAGCTTCATCTGTATCTATGGCCACTCCCCTCTTTGCCGCCTGATCTCCACCTCTTGTCAGGTCAGTGGCAGCATTAGATTCTCATAGGAGCAGGAACCCTATTGTGTAACTGTGCATGCAAGGGTTCTACCTTGCTGTGTCTTTATGAGAATCTGATGCCTGATAATCTGTCACTATCTTTCATCACCCCCAGATGGGACCATCTAGTTGCAGGAAAACAAACAAGCTCAGGACTCCCACTGATTGTACATTATGGTGAGTTATATAATTATTATATATTACAATGTAATAATTACAAAGTACACAATAAATGTGATGTGCTTGAAATATTCCAAAACTGCCCCCTGCCCCCAGCCTGTGGAAAAATTGTCTTCCATAATATTGGTCCCTGGTGCCAAAAAAGCTGGGGACTGCTGCACTTGAGCACTCACAGAGAGAGAAACACAAAGCTCAAGTCTTAGCATAAGTCATGGTCTGAGATCCAGAGAGCTTCCGTGATAGCCCAAACACAATTCCTTAT